TCTTTGATATGTCTTTTGATATTCTAGACGATGAAGATAATTAATGCTTCAATTCTGATTAATATATCTAGAACTACTTTTTGGTTTTTGTGGTACAACAACACTAATTAAATACTCTGTCACAATAATGAGGTTGTTCCTTTTCCGATGTGTGCTTCGGCTTCTCAAGAGTCATCAGCTCTAGATACATGGCCTCTATAAATGTTCTCTGTAACGCAAATCACAAACAAGCACTGACTTCGTCTTGCAAAAACAATAGATGGTATCATGGTACTTTGCAAAGGCTTTCGGCCATTGATTTGATAGGGGGAGGGCAGCGGAGAATGGAGGAAGGTTGCAGTCGCATATGGGTTTGTTAGGGCGGCAGAAGGTGTCGGACTATCGGTTACCACTGGGGTTTGGGAAAGCGGCTGACGCTCCGGTCATACTCATACAGTGTATGAGTGTATGGCTGTATGGGTTTGCGACGGCGGCGGCCAACAGACATTTTGACCAAGTAGGCTATTCGTCTTCCGATGCTTTGGTCACAGTCTCACAGACCCGGTTACCGTCGTTCGAGAGGCCCACATGAGGAACTAGTTGGGCTTCTCGAGAATTCTTGATTACAAGTGGTCCTCCTGTATAAAAGAGTGGGTGTTGGAGAGCAATGTACCAAATAACATTGATGTTAATAAGTAGATCCATTCCCTTTAAGACGGTATTGTAATTTTGCTACGTATTTTAATATTTGGTTATGTGCGAAATATATATCAATTATTTTCCAGGTTGAAATGATAATTGCACCCAAATCTTGGATGTCTTTGACGATCAAGAACTGCATATTATTATGAGAAGAGTGCATAACGGGCAAACTTCAATATATTTATCAATTGAAATTGCTGCTTTCATCTCTTTTAATATAGAGTGCAAGGTTTCAACAAGAAAAAAATTCACTTTGTACCTTTTTTTAAGCTTAATTATCTCTAGATGACACACTTCTGAAATGTACATGTATCGAATCTTCCACAAAATTCTTGAAATGTATGTATGTGGGGTGAAAAAGGGAGAAGAAGAAGCCAGAAGGTAAAGCTGAAGGATTGTGAAAGTGATATATGGAGTGACTTAGATCGAGAAGGGATACAAGAGGGAGGTGTCAGGTGTATAAATGTGCATGTTTTCTGGATTAATATTTTATTTAAACAAAATTAGATAAAGCAATAACTCATTATAACTCACCTATAACGATTATTACATTTTGACTTATTGTATTACTTCACTGAGCCATATTGAATGGCTAAGTACAGAGTATATTACGAAGTAATATTCATAATATCATTTCGTTTTCCTTGATTTATAAAGCATTAAGTTTTGAATGAGATTAATATTTCACTGAAAATTGGCAATTTCCTTGATTCATAATGCATTAATTTTTTATTGAGATTATAATTTGAATGAAAAGATTTGAATGAAAGTACAGAGTGGGCCTATTTATTTCAATGGATTTTTCTATTCCTACAGTTTTAAATTAAATGATAAAATAACGATGGCAATTTGCATGGATCATTGTTCAAATTTTGTAAACTTTAAAATCATCCTAAACTAATGAGGTTTCTCTAACACACACTAGCTGACTAGCTTATACTTGGATGAGATTTAGAAGTTTTACAGATTATATTTAAAGAAATTATTTTCATATATATCACTTTCATATTCAAAATAATTTTTTATTAAATTTTATCATTTTTCAATTCCCCAGGCAAAGTCACGGTGGTCATACTTTATTAGAATGGAGAGAATGTTAAGCATCATTAAATATTAAAAACCAATTGTGTATTGTAAATAATGATGGTCATTTGTATTTGCAATGATGTGGGATGCATCACAATATTAACTAACTAATTAATTGCATTAACTATTCTAATGAATGTATTGAAACTTCATTCTTAATTTCGGGATATTATACACAAATGTCTTTTATGGAGAGCAATTTTCATTGTTTCTAAGATTTTGATTTAGTGCTCTTGATTAATGCATAGCATATATAATTCATGCTAATTAATAAATATAGATAAAAATATTTGGGGTCTAATATATTGTCCTCGGGTTATTCGTATGCTACAAAATAATTATCAGGTTTGTTTTTTTGTAGGAAATCAAATTACAAACACATCCGGCCGGCACTATATTTGAAGTATATCACACCACTTCTTGCGTCTAAAAAATTTAATCACTTTAATAAAAAATTCTTTATGATAAATATGAAGTCCAAGTTTTTGTCACCTTTTGTCTTCCGACTATTATGATCGACACTGACATTTATGATATTCGATTTTGAATTTTTTAATTGTTAGTCCTCAACTATTATGTGAAAAATCTTTTTGTACCTGACTTTCAAAAGTTTTATATTTAGTCCTTTGACTTTTTGATAAAAGTGAGACTTTTGATTCTTTAATATTGAATATTGACATTTTTAATCTTTCACTTACCATTTCAAATTCATAGTGGAAAGATTAAAAATGTCAATTCGATCTATTCAGTGAACTAAATGTGTAAAGATTGAAAGTTGATGACTAAAAGTGTCACTCGCACAATAGTCAAAAATTAAAAATGAAAAATAAAAACAAAAATGTCACTAAAACAATAATCAAGAACCAAAATAGAAAAAAATTAAACTGTGTAATGTCCAAAGAAACTACTCTTTAATTTCATTTTAAAAAAATCTACCATAATGTAAAGTTACAATGGTGTAATATTTGTGCGAACAAAATTAATCAAACACGTGGGAAAAAGATAACAATGACTTTTGCGTCCTTTTGTATTGCATGCATGATAATCATATCCTAAGTACCAATTATGCAAAGCTCAATTGTTACATTTTAAAATGTGTTCGATATCGTTTAAGAAAATAGCACTGCACCTCATGTTTCACTTAGATATTTATGGAATACGTACGAATGGATATCAAAGCTCGAAACTTCGGATGGGTGGCAACATAAATGATTTATTTAATAAAATAAATAGATTATACTACGTACGTAGTATTTCTTAACGTTTTAGTTACAGTAAAAAAAACGTTTTAGTTTGTCATATCAAACTCATAAACTATTAAAAATGATATACACCTGATTATAAGGAGCTGAGAAACTAAAAATAAAAGAATTTTAATTTATACTTCAGGTCTTCACAAATTATGGACTAATATCCCGTGCATCGCACGGGTACTATACTAGTTATGTATACATTATATGTATACATATGTATACATTATACATATGTATATACAGTGGCGGAACCAGAACAAAATTTGAAGGGGGACGGAAAAAAATGTCGAACCGTTGGTTGGACAGATCCTATAATTTGTATGTACGGTTTTTTGGGTGGGTATATTTACAGTAATTTGATCTCAAATCCAATGCAGAAAGAGTTATTCCCATTTGCGCGAACTTCATATGGACCTATATATAATTAACACACAAGCAGACACATACATATCAACTTAAATATAGACATTTATTCATTTTTATACTTATTTTGTTAGTGCCTAAACAAAATAATAGACTTCGTTTATCAAACGAGTTTATTTCAATTTAATACATTTGTCCTTTTATTTAGAATAAGAAGGGTTAAATAGAACTATAGCTAAACATTTAGAGGAAGATAAATTAATAATACATATGTAAGTTACTAACTTATTAAGAAAATAGTAATTTTATTATGTTTTTCTATTTTCAAATCAACATTACTACATTATTTATTTTTTAAAGGATATTTATTTTTTTTATGCAAATGTAATTACATAAATCTAATTATACTCATATAAAGTCAAATATTCCAAATATCAACAAGAAATTTGGCATATTTGTACTGAACCAATGAATAAATAAATAAATAATTATGTTAAAATTTGATTCGTTTTGAAAACTTTCTTGATAGAGTCCATATAAAATGATATAGGTCAATGTTTTTTTTGACAAAATATAGGTCAATGTTTGAAAAGGGAAAAAATAGTTAAAAGTCATTTTTACCATTAATGTATTCAAAAGAAAACGTAAATATAACATGTCAATATTCGAAAAAAGTAAAAACTAAATGGTTTGAATTGAAAAAATTAAAATTTAACATAAAAGTAATTCAAGTGGTAGGAAAAATATTAATAAAACTAATACGGAGTATCAGTAGTATAACATCACAAAAATTAGCACAAAAAATGAAAGACAACAGGATTCGAAGCTGCGTTTCCTGCAGTTGATAGAAGCACTCCAACCATCAGTGCTACTCGAATTGTTTGATGAGATACGGGTCTGTTAATATTTATAACTACTGTTAAGACGGGGCTGGACATATTCATGTATATATATACACTAAAACCTCCGGCAAACGGGGGCGGCAGCACCGGCTCGCACCCCCCTAGTTCCGCCACTGTGTATATACACTACGTACTGGGTACATATTAAAACAAATCCACATTTTTTCTCAAAACTAAATACTCCTTTTTGAGTTACTTTATATTCATTTTTTTGCTCCAAAATTTTAGTTTGCATACACAGAATTGTTTATAAATGAAATGAAATATATTGAAAAACACATTATCAACTCGTCACACTACAACCTTTCCATATACGACATTTCTAATTAAAGCTATGAAACCAACGATCTCTTCATTAACAAAGTAGCCAAATGATCATCCGTAAACTGCAAATTTTCAATCAAATTACGCAACTCACACTTTCAATCTGAAATCATATCTAAACAGAGGTAGGCCCAGAAAATTCATCTTGGGAGGGCAGTAATTTAAACAAAAAAATATTTTTCGTATATATATACACAAAAAAAATTGTTGGTGAGGCGGTAGCCCTCTTGGGTCTCTACTATATATGGCCCACCTCTGAATCTAAAACATCACCTTGTAGACTTATCAATTTCATTTTTAAACACATGATAGTTGTCGCAAGGCTCTTTCTTTAGCGCTGAAGGCAGAACCCAAATCCTAGGTGGTTCTAATCAAGAAACAAGCAGGTGGAAATAATTTTGCTGTCTATTGAATCGAATGAACCCAGTTGAGGCCTGCGCCTATATACAATTCATCCAGCCAGAAGATGTCTTCTATTCGCTACTTGCTATGCTAAAGAATCGGGAAAAAAACAAAGCTACGGCTATGTACAACAATCCTAATCAAATGCAAAAACTAATCACATGTACGTACTAGGAACAAAAAAATGTAACCCAAAATAAATGTACAATAAATGGGCATAGCAACACCCCCCTCAAGATGGAGCATAGGGATCACAAATGCCCATCTTGACCAGCAAATAAGAAAACTGAGATGCTCCAAGTGCTTTAGTTAATAAATCAGCAGGCTGTTCAGTAGTGGATGTATAAGAGGGAGAGATAGTTCCAGCCTGTATATGATCTCGAATAAAATGACAATCAAGTTCTATGTGCTTGGTCCGCTCGTGGTACACTGGATTGGAAGCAATATGCAGAGCGGCCTGATTGTCACAATAAAGTGGTATAGGTGAAGAATGCACAACCCCCAAACACCGTAGCAGGTTGCGTAGCCAGATAAGTTCACATGTTAAGGCAGCCATGGATCGATACTCAGCTTCTGCTGAGGAGCGAGAAACTGTGGCCTGTTTCTTGGTACGCCAGGATATAGGGGAATGACCAAGTGAGACAAAATAGCCGGTCACAGAGCGACGTGTTACTGGACAGCTAGCCCAATCAGCATCACAAAACCCGGTCAAAGTGAGAGAGGAATCGGACCGCAATAAAATGCCTTGACCCGGGTGGCCCTTAAGATAGCGTAGAACACGTAACATAGCCTCCCAATGCTCCACCTTAGGACATTGCATAAACTGAGATAGAATATGAACAGAATAACTAATGTCCGGCCGGGTCAAAGTAAGATAAATTAGTTTGCCAACTAATCGCCTATAGCGCTCCGGATCAGAAAAATTAGGCCCAGTAGCCGACTGCAATTTATGGTTCTGCACCATAGGAAAAGAGACAGGTCGAGCCCCGGTCAATCCTGTTTCGGACAAAATGTCCAACACATATTTACGCTGACACAAGAATATCTCGGTAGGATTGCGGGCAATTTCAATACCCAAAAAATACTTCATTATGCCCAAATCTTTTACTGGAAACGTACCAGCTAAAAATCTCTTAAACGCCACAATCATATCATGGTCATTGCCTGTAATAAGGAGATCATCGACATAAATTAAAACACACAGAATTCGTCGATCTCGTCGAAGTGTAAATAAGGAATAATCAGCATGTGATTGACAGAAACCATAAGCACGTAATGAAGTGGTGAGCTTAGAAAACCAACATCGTGGAGCCTGTCGTAGGCCATAGAGTGATCTAAGCAGTTTACACACCTTGCCGGGGGAGGAAGCTGAGTATCCCGGGGGCAAGTGCATGTAGACTTCCTCATTTAAATCCCCATGAAGAAATGCATTGTCCACGTCCATATGATGAAGCTCCCAGTGACATGAAGCTGCTACCGCTAAAATGGTATGAACAGTTACCATTTTAGCAACCGGAGCGAATGTCTCACTGTAATTAATTCCCTGCACTTGTCTATTGCCACAAACAACAAATCGTGCTTTGTAGCGTTCCACCGATCCATCACTTTTATATTTAATTTTGTACACCCATTTGCAAAAAATGGCCTTCTTGCCACGTGGCAGATCTTGAATACGCCAGGTACCTGTCCGTTCGAGAGCTGCAATCTCACGACTCATAGCTGTTCGCCACTGTGGATCGCGTACAGCCTCATTAAAACTGGATGGTTCTCGACCTGCTGATATAGCTGCAAGAAAAGCACGGTGCGGAACCGAAAAATGATTATAATTTACATAATGGGATATGGAATACGGAGTACCTGATTCAACCGACGGGTGTGAGTCAACGACAGTGGAGGAGTTTATTTTCACGGTGTTCATCTGGACTTCATAGTCGTCATGCCAAATTGGTTTTTGCCGTTGTCGTGTTCCACGGCAACTTGGGTTTGCCCCATGTGAGTGGGTTGAGAGATTTTCAGTGGGTCCCGCATCTTGTGTATCCGCTTGTGAAGTAACCGAAGCATGATGTTCTGCATGCATGTGCGTGGTGTCGTGCTTTGCTTCCTGGGACCCCATATTTTGTATGCTTCTAGATTCTTGGGATGGTGGATTAACATTATCTTCACACGTGCCTGGATAAGTTGATGAATCACCCAAAGTGCGTATATAGTGCTCAAGCTCCTGTGTGCTTTCTCCAGAAGCAGCTTCTCGTTCATGGACTAAATCATGTGTCCAGCCAGAATAGTTTTCCACCGTTTTGAATGGAAAAATGGATTCAATAAACTTCACATTACGAGAAATAAAATGCCGACGCTTTTCTAAATCATATACCTTCCAACCCTTTTGTGTGTAAGCATAACCCAAAAACACACATTTTATTCCACGCGGTGCAAATTTGTCACCTGTTGTATCCTTAGAATGTGCATAACATAAACACCCAAATACCCTAAGATGAGTATATAAGGGAGGTTTGTTATACAATAGCTCATACAGACTTTTATTGTTTATCACAGGAGACGGCAATCTATTAATTAAATATCCGGCCGCTAACACGCATTCACCCCAAAAATTTATAGGCAAATTTGCATGAAATCTGAGAGTGCGTGCTACCTCGAGTATATGTCTATGTTTCCGCTCAACCCTACCATTTTGTTGTGGAGTATACACACAAGATGTTTGAAAAATTATTCCATTGGTCAAAAAATATTCTCGCAAACCAATAAATTCTTTGCCGTTGTCACTTCGGAAAACTTTCACGGGTTTGTTAAACTGCCGTAAAGTCATGGCAAAAAATTGCTTAAGAATATTTTTGACCTCACTTTTTTCCCTCATCAAATGTACCCATACTGCCCGAGAATAATCATCAACAATAGTCAAGAAATAACGTGAACCGCCTGTGCCTGGCGTTCTATATGGACCCCAAACATCACAATGTATTAATTCAAAAGGTTCGATAGCACGTGCAAGACTAATATCAAAAACATCACGAGTTTGTTTACCACGCAAACAAGCATCACAAGCATTATTCTGAACAGATTTCAACGTCTTATTCAAAGGATCAACCAAACGTAAAACTTTCACTGATGGGTGTCCCAAGCGAGAATGCCACAGTTCACCTGAGTCTGTCGTCGCCACCACGTGTGCTTGAACTTGATCGAGACTCCGGAAAAAATAAACTCCCCCTCGTCGGTCACCCACTCCAATCGGCATCCTCGTAAGTAGGTCCTGTATCACACATAAATCATTAGTAAAAAATATATCACATTTTCGTTGATCAATTAATTGCGCTATTGAAATAAGATTGCATCGCAATCCAGGTACTAGCAACACATTCTCCAATTTCAATTGTGAACTGATCCACACGTCACCAACATGTGTCCCTTAAGTTATTTCGCCATTAGGCAACTGGACCGAAATAGGGTTCATCCGGCAAGTCTTCGTCAAAATTGTATCATCACCGGTCATGTGGTATGATGCCCCGGAGTCTAGGAGCCACTGTGAATCGGATGGCTCATCCTTGGGAGGTGCAGTCTTACAATTTTCTAGCATCCTTAGGAGGTGCTGCCACTGCTCATCCGTGAGGTTCGGTTTGTTCATGGGGGTAGGGGTGTGCACGGGTCGGGTTCGGGCGGGTCGGGTTTGCGAACCCTAAACCCGTTCGGGTTTTTTAATTTAAATATTAGGCCCGACCCTTTAATATTTCAAATCGGGTATTTCGGATATTTTTATGTCGGATATTATCGGATATCGGGTCGGGTTTCGGATATTTCGGTTATATTAAAAAAAATTATAATTGGATAATTAAAGTGTTCAAATGCCACTTTGACAAAAATTGTACACACTAGTGCACTAAACTTCCTAATTACACAAATAATTTAACACAAATTGCACAAATAATTACACAAATAATTGAACAAAAGTAATAATTTAACATATTCAAAGTACACACTACATAATTTAATATATTTTGGATATTTTGGTTATAACAAAACACATTATAATTGGATAGTTAAAGTGTTGGAATGTCACTTTAACAAAACTTGTACACAATAGTTCACTTCACATTCAATTTACACAAATAATTTAATACAAATTGCACAAATAATTACACAAATAATTGAACACAAGTATTAATTTAAATATTCAAAGTACACACTAAACATATATTTCGGATATTCGGGCGGGTCGGGTTGGGATTTCACAAACCCTACCCGCCACCCGGTCTTGGCCCAATACTAATCGGATTTTCGGTTTCGGGTTTTTCGGGTCGGATATCCACTTCGGTTCGGATAATATCCGAAAAAAATATCGGGTTTTTCGGGTCGGATCGGGTTTTGCTCAGCCCTACATGGGGGTCCCACAATTATTCAAACCCGAAACATCCGAGCTTGACAAAAAATGTGGGGAAGAAGGGTCATTGATCCGTCGTCGTTCGTGGCCGCTACCACCGCTTCCTGTTTCTCCAGCCATGTCGTGTCTACAAATTCGTGAATGAAATAGCCCAGGTCGTAGCCTGCTCTGATACCAAATCAAGAAACAAGCAGGTGGAAATAATTTTGCTGTCTATTGAATCGAATGAACCCAGTTGAGGCCTGCGCCTATATACAATTCATCCAGCCAGAAGATGTCTTCTATTCGCTACTTGCTATGCTAAAGAATCGGGAAAAAAACAAAGCTACAGCTATGTACAACAATCCTAATCAAATGCAAAAACTAATCACATGTACGTACTAGGAACAAAAAAATGTAACCCAAAATAAATGTACAATAAATGGGCATAGCAACAGTTCTCTATGCTTCTTATCCTTCAGCCTGGCAAAATCCCAATTGCGTGATTGAAACTAACACTTGCCTCTTACCATCTTCTTATCTGATCAATGGAAGGTTTGGACAGGTGAAACAAAGAAACACTGAAAAAGATGAGAATATGAGATGGCGAGAGATAATGTGATTAACACAAATTAAATGTCTATGCAGCATATCCTGTATAAAAATAAAAATAATTACATAGTTGGACCGGCCTAAAAACAAATCCAAATCCATAACATACATAAATTATAAAAGGGAAAAGGTACATATATACCCCTATAGTATAGGTGGAGGATCAAATATACCCCGTTCTATTTTCGGAACAAATATACCCCTAAACTTTTAGTTTAGGGGTATATTTGTTCCGAAAATAGAACGGAGTATATCTGTTCCCACACGTATATTTGTACCTTTTCCCATTATAAAACCATCGGCTAAATGGTGAATCACACACTTCTCTACCGAACCCCATATATGTGATTAAATTGATGCATCTCCCAGCTTCCTACATCGTACCTCAATGGTCATTGAAACCCTTCACATACCGCCATTCCTAATCCATTGGTAACCTCAACCCTCCGCTACTCTCCCAGTCTCCCTATTCCGTTTGCATCTGCCTCACAAACACCAATGGCCTCCCAAAGTTGAGTAGCTAAGTACCGTCAGTTTTGAGGTATTTCTACCGCCCTTACAAAATCAATGAAATGCTACTTCGTAGCTTCTGCCAACAATCTTATATACTACCTCCGTTCTCTTTTAATTGCAACATTGGACTTTTTGCACTATTTACATATTCTACTTTGACTATGTTTTATTCATTAATGTATTACAAATTAAAATTTTAAAAAATATTTTTAAATTCTTCTCATTCTAAATTTTCAAAATCCTATTTTTTGATTTTTTTTAATAATAAGGAATGAAAGATATAAACGGTCAAACTCGTGTGTTGGCAAACGTGAAATGTGGACCGTTGCAATTAAAAAGGAACGGAGGAAATACGAAGTATTAGGAACATCATTTAATGTGCTTTTTAATCATATCACTGAGGCCGTGAGACGCTTTGGAATTGCTGCATTCGGTTCTAGAAAAATAACTTGCAATTAATGAATCGATTTATTAGTTAATTTATTAAACAAATAAAAAATGATGTTTGCACTCACTCTTATATCCACTTTTGTATACACCTATGTTTGTGAAGTGTTTATATGTGTCTGTGAACCCCGGTTCACAGACAATATTTTGCACAAACAAACTATTGTCTGTGAATTTGGTTCACATGAAAATAACACTTCACAAACATGGTGGATATAAGAGTGGGTACATCAAGCATTGTTGTAAACAAATTTAGGCCATGGCCGCTGCTGATTCCCGCCCAAATGGTTGAAGACTATTGTGTTTTTATATATTACTCGTATATAGATATAGATATCAATATATTTTTATCTAGAAAGTTCCCAATACAAATTAAAATTGCAAAAAAAAAACAGAAGTATGAAAAAGGAGTTTTTGTTGGCGGTGGAATATGAAAAGGTGGGAAAACCGCGCATCGAGCAATGAAAAGCACTAAAGCAGGAAATTAACTTCAGGCTACGAAGTACGAGGCATTTCGTACTAATTACTCATGTTATTTATCCAAAATATTCCCTTGACATTTATAGCTGAAATCTTGCCCCAACGAATTGTCCCAAAGAATTGCCCTACATGGTTTGGGCGGGAACCTGTGCTCCAAGAAACCTTTTGTTATTATATTAAGATAGATTTTCACCCGTGTTATTATAACGGAACAAAAATATATAAAAAATTAATTTTACTATATATTTAGAGCATTAGTATATGAAAATCGTCAAATAGCAAATGCATAGATACACTACAAAAAAACACGCGCTTAGTCCGTACAATATTGCATCTTTATCATACATCCAACTTCTATTTTGTTTATACATTATGCCTGAATATTATAATAAAATATTATACAGGTTCAAAACTTAGGTAATTAATGTAATAATAATACTGCGTTTAACTAATTTTAGGTAATTTATTTCACTAAATAATCAACTAACTAATTTTGACTAAATTAAATGAAATGCACACAATTCACAATAATAATGTACAAAATATAAGTAATTACCTAATACTTAAATTTAACTAATATTATAAAAAATTTAAGTAATTTAACACTACATTTAAATTAAACCTACGTTTAACTAAATTTAACTAATTCATTTCGTTATTTAATTAACAACCTTTTTCTATACACATTTCAATTAACTAATATTTAAATTTAATTAATATTATCAAAAGTTTAACGAATCTAACTTAATTAGTTAAAACCTACGTTTAACTAATTCATTTTACTTAATGCATCACTACGTTTAAACCTACGTTTAGCTAACTAATTTAACTTAATTAACACATAACTATGTTTAAACCTACGTTTACCTAACTAATTTTAATTAAATTATTTTGTAAACCTAAAAATTTAACTAATGTTATGACATCACCACGTTTCTAATTAAATATGTTGCTAATTAATTAATAACCTCACTAATTTAAGAGTTTTAATAATTTAAATTGAACCAACTAATTTTAAATAAAAGTAATAATTCAAATAACATAACTTATTTGCATAAACAGAGAAAATGACATAAGATAGACTACATCCTTCGATATTTGAAACAGATAATGTATTATATAGTA